ATAAATCTTGGCCAAACTTTATTCCGTTACCGTTATCTTTTTAGTAAAAAAAAAAGCCAAATTAGTTTATAACCAAAAATTATAATTTTTAAACATTTTTTTTTACATTTTTTTATTTTTAATATTATTATTTATTTTATTTTATTTATTTATTTTACATACTGTCACCCTAGCAGTACAGTGTCACCATGGTGACACTGTACTACTTTTGGGAAGTGATGAAGTTTTTTTTTTTTTTTTTTTACACTGATTGCTTTTACACCCATATAGGATGTAAAAGCAATCATTTCTCTTTCTCTCTGTCTGCATTCTTGCAGCCATTGAGAAATACTGAGTGAGCTGTAATTGGTCACAGCTTGTCACATGGTACAAGGATGTTGTGAATAGCCTTGTACCATGTGACCTCTGTGATCATTCACAGATTTCACACACACGCAGTAAGCAATGATGTCACAAGTGACATCTTGCTTACTACTTTGCATGTGATCACTGATTGGCCAATCAGTGATCACATGATCGGGACCTCGTACAGAGGTCCCGTCCGACGATCGGTGTTTTACTGTGTCCGGAGGACACAGCGGGCACCGGATCGCGGTGTTGCGCGCTCCCGGGGAGCGCGCACAAGCAGGGTGCGGGGAAGCCGTTTATAAATGGCCACCCGACCCTGAAGTGCCACCGTTTATATACAACGGCCAGTCGGGAAGTGGTTAAAGGGATGCTGGGGCTGGGCAAGCGCAAAATCACACCAAAAAAATTGTGCAAAGACATGCGTTCACAATACGCTACCTGTGACTCTAGCCAAAGACCCCTTTACACAGGGCCAATCCGTCAGCGGATCCGTTTACTCAGCATGGGATTTGCCTGCTGATCCCTGCTGAGGAAGCAGATGACCGGTCCGTGTCCACTCCGCCTATGCCCGCTGTCCTTTGTGGATGATCGGATGGAAACAGACCACCTGTCCATTTCCATCCAACTACCATCTGATCCAACAGGCAGAAGGGGGAACGTACCATCCCTTTTTGGCAGTCCGGATTGGATTTGATGCTGGCGAGTGTAAACGAACACATATTCGTTTACATCTGCCACTTAGTAGAGGAAAATAGAGGTTCCGATCCAATTCACCTGAAAAACGGGGAGGTGGACAGGGGCGGACTGACAACTCATGGGGCCCCCGGGCAATAGGGGATCATGGGGCCCCTGCGTCCTTGCCCAAATCAAAAAAGCCTATGAAAAAGGTACCAGGGGCATCTCATGGGGCCCCCTACTGACCCAGGGCCCTCGGCAGTGCCTGAGTTTTCAAATGGTCAGTCCGCCCCTGGGTGGACCCAATCTGAACATTTGTGTGAAATGGGCCTAACTGTCATAAATCCCTTACACCACTGTAAGTCAGCAACTTCTAGCACTTAAACCTACAGTTTCTGTTCTAGGTTCTCATAGAGGGTCACTCGCTCTCCACCATTCATAAAACCAGAACGACTGATCTAGTTTAGAAGATTGTGACTTTCATCCGTTGCCCCCTCCAATGTCCATTCACAAAATGCCTTGTATTCTGTGAAACTGTACTAGAGTTGTGACTCTTAAGTTTCAGCTCAGTGTTGTACAGGATTCATGGAAATAAGGCTTATTTCCTTTTGTCATCAGGAGGTAGTAAAAACAGGTGGTTGAGCCACATTTTTACTGCTTCCTTTAAGCTGCAAAGGCAGCAGGATGGGGTTGTACATATGCTGTGATGATTTCCTTCATGGCTATAGCAAAAATGATCCCCCCTATCATTTTTGACAAGCAGTACCAGTGCCAAAAACAACCCATTCATGCCAATGGGACAGCACTAAGACTACCCTGAAACTACATGCAAAGCACAAGCTTTCTGTGCAGTGGTGCATCATTTGCATAGTGAAAACAGTCAATGAGGCAACATATCCCCTCCTCACCGCCTGCCAAATATGATGGATCGCTGTTCAAGGGCTTTTACTAGTGTAAACTTAGCTTAAGAGTCTTATTGATTGCAGCAGCAGCCAGATATGGGACAACAGTCATTAGATATGTTTTATTTTTACAATGCAAAGTATTTTTTCCCCAGAATTTCACTATCACTTTCATGCTGTAGTTTTGATAAAATCGTTATATCCTTAACAAGGGCTCGGTAAACTGAGATTCTGCTTTGCCAACATGGAGATTAGAATAATGATGGGTAGAAATACCTTGAATCTGAGAGGATGTGCAAAGATTGCAGACAATTATTATTATTATACAGGCTTTATATAGTGCCAACAGTTTGCGCAGCGCTTTACAATATAAGGGAGACAGTACAATTACAATATATTTCAGTACAGAAGGAATGTGAGGGCCCTGCTTGTGGAGCTTACAATCTAAAGGAAGGGGGAGGTGATACAAAAGGTGATAACTGTGGGGGATGATCTGGCGGAGGTGATTCAAGTACAGTTCTTAGGTGGAGGTGGGGTAGGCTTCCCTGAAGAAGTGAGTTTTCAAAGATCGCCTAAAGGCAGACAGGGTGGGGGCTGACCAGACATGCTGTGGTAGGGAGTTCCAGAGGATGGGAGAGGCTGTGGAGAAGTCCTGGAGGCGAGCGTGGGAGGAGGTGATGAGGGAGCTAGAGAGGAGGATATCATGGGAGGAGCGGAGTGGGCGATTTGGGCGGTATCTGTGGATGAGGTTGGTGAAGTAGCTAGGGGCAGTGTTGTGGATGGCTTTGTAAGCTGTGGTTAGTATTTTGAATTTTGTACGTTGGGCTAGTGGAAGCCAGTGAAGGGATTGGCAGAGAGGGGCAGCAGTCGCTGATCGGTTGGTAAGGTGTATGAGTCTAGCAGCAGTATTCATAATAGACTGAAGGGGGATAGCCTGTGTAACGGTAGACCAGTGAGGAGGGAGTTGCAGTAATTGAGGTGGGCTTTAACCAAGGCGTGGATAAGTTGTTTTGTGGTGTCATTGGTCAGAAAGGGGCGGATTTTGGAAATATTTTGGAGGTTGAGGTGGTAGGATTTAGCCAGTGAGTGGATGTGGGGCCCAAAGGAGAGGTCAGAGTCTAGGATTACACCTAGCACCCTGGCATGAGGGGAAGGACCAATGGTTGTGCTGTTGATCTTAATGGTAAAGTCGTAAGTGGGGAATCGGGGAGGAGGAAATATTAACAAGCTCAGTTTTTGAAAGATTGAGTTTAAGGTAGTGATGTGACATCCATGCTGATATGTCGCTTAGTAGATTTGTAGTCGTGCTGAAATGCCAGATCAGCTAGTAGCTAATGCAGTCATTCTCAGTCAGGCTTCCCTGGAATCCTAAGGATCAGCTAGAACAGTAATTTCCAAGTCTCAACTCAGATTCAGTGGAATCCTATAGTTCCTCTTGAGCAGACATTTGGAACCAGGCATCTGTGGAATTCTATGGTTCCTCTAGAGCAGTCATTCTCAACCAGGGTTTTGTGGAATCCTATGGTTCCTCTAGAGAAGTCATGCTCAACCAGGGTTCTGTGGAATCCTATAGTTCCTCAAGAGCAGACATTTTGAACCAGGGTTCTGTGGAATCCTATGGTTCTCTAGAGCAGTCATTCCCAACCAGAGGTCAGTGGAATCCTATAGTTCCTCTAGAGCAGTCATTCTGAGCCAGGGTTCTGTGGAACCCTAGCATTCCTCCTAGGGGTTCCTTGAGCTGTAACAAATTGTCCTCACATTTGATGGTGTCTGCATAATTCCAGGGCAAATGCCACATAGCAGACTCAGTGGCATAATGTCAGTGATCTTTTTAGCTATCTGTAAGTGAGGCATTCTGACCATAACTGGAAGGGGACATTCTTCCCACTAACTACCAATATACTGTAAGAGGCATTTTCCCTACTGGCCAACAATGACTTGGATTTAACAGTGGTTTCTCGAGGCCTAAAAAATATTTCAATGGTTTCTCTAAGGTACAAAGGTAGAGAAAGACTGCTCTAGAGCTTGCTAGGGGTACCTTGACCAGTGGCTGATTGACCTTCCATCTGATGTTGCCTTTATATTTCCAGGACAATGCTATGTGGCAAAACTATCAGTGTGACACCAATAATATTTTTAGCTGTTTGTAAGGGTGACATTTTTACCATCACTGTAAGGGGGGCATTCTTCCTACTGACCACCAATGTAAGTGGAATTTTCCTCCTTGACCCCTAAAGAATTAGTTTTAGTAAGGTCTGAAAATTATTTTTTGGGTTCCTCTGGGGGAAAAATATTGAGACAAGCTGAGCGAATGAGTATCAGTCGCAATTCCTACTGCTATTAACTTTTTTGTTGCCACTGATGCAAGCCTTGCTACAACAGCCAGGAAAGCATGTAAATATGACTGTCAACTGATGGCCCCAGAAGCCTCCCAGTGTGACCCCCTCCATCCATGTTTTTTGGGGGCCTAGAACCCACATGGCAGTTGTCTCTGGGTAGAAAGGAGGGAGACCAGTGAATCTCTGTTCTTTCCTAGCTAGTAAAAACTCAGAAACGATGTGTATTAAATCATAATAAAGTTTAGTGAAAAAAAATGTAAATATTAAAGTTAACCCCAAGCAACTAAAACCATCAAAATTTTGAGCCCCCCCCCCCCCCCAAAAAAACCACATACACATAAAAATAAAAACACATGCGTTGGGGGAATCTATATACAAAAATTGTGTTACACATATGTTATATATCACCACTCTAAACTGATGATCTATAAGAGCTTTTAAAGCACCACCTATGGACAATATTGTGTTTGTTGCAGTTGCATGCATTCTTAAGGCTTGACAAATCTTTTATCTATTTACTCTGTGCAACTACAACTTCTATATTTCCCCAAAAATTTGGCAATATATTTGCATGTACTAAAATTACCTTTAGTGTATAGAGGAGAGATCTCACTGTATGGTTTTTGTTTATTTTTAAATACATGAAATCTTCTTTAGTTACTCAACCATGTGACAATATGGATTAGCTTTTTTTCTCTCATTTCCTGTTTCAGTTCCTAATTTTCTGTATTTTTAGATAAATCCTATATCCTGAAGATGACATCAGATGGTCCAATAACCTCAGGTGCACTGGCTACTGTCAATGCCAGTCTAGGGATATCACATGATGGCATGATTCTTATTGTGGACCCCAAGCTTTATAATTTCCACTGGATCTACTCTCCGCTACTGCTCACACCATCACACAGAGAACGACACCAGTTCTGCCTTAATGCTGCAATGTAATAGCCCAGGAACTTTCCAGGTTTCAGTCTGGGTAACCGAGAGGAGTTGCCCCTCATGTGAGCCAATTGCTCGGAACACTACAGAACTCCAAGTGACAAGTAAGCACCGTTGACTTATCAAAGAAGTGTTTTTAGCATTCCACCATACTGTCTGAGCTGGAGAAAGGCTATAGATGTCACTTTCCATAAAGCCACCATTTCAGCCTCAGGCATACAGTGAAGGAAATAAGCATTTGATCCCCTGCTGATTTTGAATGTTTGCCCACTCACAAAGAAATGATCAGTCTAAAAATCGAATGGTAGATGTATTGTAACACTGAGAGACAGAATAGCAACAAAAAATTCAAAAGAAATGCATGTCTATCAAATTATGCACTGATTTGCATGTTCATGAGGGAAACAAGTAATTAATAAGTAAGTAATGCAAAGGAGCAGGAGAACGGATAGTGGGGAAAGAGGGGGTGGGGGTTTCCTGCAGGCTTGGGTGGTGGCATCAGCAGCCAGAAGTTGCCCAGGCTGGTCAGATGCAGAGTGGGAAGAGCGTACAATCACCAAGGGGCCCCACTTGTAGGAATTTAGCACGGGAGTCATGCAAAATGCTAGACATCTTTTCATTTATCATCAGGGCGGTCAAATTGCTCTTCACTGCTGCAAATGAGACAGAAGGTGTCCTCCAGAAGCCTTCATTTTTCAAGTGTAAATGAGTATTATTCCCTGTTCACACCTGTGCGATTTTACACTTGATGGGTAACATGCAACAATGCATAACAAAATGATTACCTTTATGTTCTATGGGGCCGTTAACACCTGTGCATATCTCTTGAGTACAGGTAGGACAGGCATGGGTCTGACAATGCTTGGGTTGTTGCAGCCTTTGATACAGTCATTGATCAGGAGTTGAGAAGAAGTGCATACACTTTGTGGTATTCCTGTTGAGCAGGGGCCTTCAAGCATCGCTCAGGGTCTGTTTTCACTGTTATGTTTTTATACGACACATGCATGTTTGCTTCTGGTTTGTATGTGTCTTACATTGCAGGTCATTGAAAACCCTGAAATATGCATTTTCTGAAAAGTCTAGGGTTGGTCTACCTCTTCCACCACCCACACCTTACTATTGATCCTCCATGTGTGGGCTTAGTAACCAGTAATTAAAGTAGAACTAATCTGTCTCAATCAACATTAAAGTGGTTCTAAAGTCTAAGTGTTTTGTTTACCTTAATGCATTCTATGCAATAAGGTAAAAAATGCTCCACTGCCTGTTACCCCACCCATCCCTAAACACTCACGTAGCACCTGTCAACCATCCAGCACAGTCCTGTCTGCAGCCCCGTTCTCCTCTCTTCCACGTCTCACAGGAGAAACAGGCATAGGCTCCTGCTGTCAGTAAATCCTGTGAAGAGACAGTGAGGGCGTGGTCATGTAATGCTGGGTGTCTATGGATGCACACAGTCCGTCTAAGGAGTGTACCCACACAAGTGCCCCCTCAGCAGTCGACTTGCTGAGGAGGTACTCAGAAGAAGAAAAAGTGCAGTGTGCTAGCAGGGGACTTCAAAAGAGGAGGTAAGGGACCAATCTGTGCAATACCACTGCACAGAGCAGGTAAGTATAACAGTATTTTTAGTTTTAATGTGAAAAAAGGCCTTTACAATTACTTTATTCATTTTTATCCTTATGCTGCTAGCTATAGTAAATAGATAGCAAGGTATATATACTTTGTTTAAACTTTTTTTTTACATTTCTTCAGTTACTTCCTAGTTTTTGGCCTAAGCCAAGATTATGTCATACATCCTAGGAGTCTTCATCAGCATTTTTTTCTTTCAGCAGGAAGGGGGGCTTTCTCAGCCAAGCACACCCTCCTGCATGTATGCCTGAGCTAAGGACAGATGGATTCCAGGAATTAAATGCTACATGAATCATCTGTCCTTGCTCAAGATGGCCATAGCTAGGAATGCTTGCCAGATGTTTTTCAAAGTGATTTCTCAACAAAATAAAGCATGTAGACACGCATACATGGGTGCGTTTTCTTTTTGAATATTAAACATGATTGAAATAGTTTTCTCAATATAAACCAGCGCAAAACACAAATATTACAATAATGAGTGAATATAAAATTATATAAAAAAAATTTTTTAAATAATCTTTAAAGTCCAGTGATAAATATAAGTGACCACAAACCCGTGACATTTAAAAATTAAAAAATATAAACATTATTTCATGAATCAAAAGTCCAGTGATCCCCAAAAAAACTTTCTAAAAAATAATCTTCGGTGCTTCAAATAATTCTTCCACCATCCACCAGTGCCAAAACTAACATAAACCACACTCACCAGATATTGGTGAGTAAAACACCATTCAGGATTATTTAGTGCTCCTGGACCCCCTTTGAGGACTCCTCTATTTTCCACCTCAGACCTATGGGTATTTCTCCACTCGTCCCCTCGCCAATTCACCAAGTTCCAAAAAGGAGAAAAAGACTAATAGTGTAATACTGTTATACCCCTTATTATTTAATTTAAGCCAAACCACTCACATTTCATAGGATAAAAACCAGCATTTATTTATAGACATCAATCAAATTTTCAAACAGCAATTGAATTTCCACAGCTCCTAGGAACTCACAGCCTTGTATACAGCAGGATGACAGCCTCCATAGAGAAAGCTTCCTCCACTAGTCAAAATGGCTGCCTGGAACGCACCCCTCGGCGTGCGTTCCGCTCACCGGAAATGACGTCGGATGTTCGGGAGACCAACCGGAAATACGTCAATGCGTTTCGCCCCACCCACAGGGCGTTCTCAAGACTCGATTGATGTCTTGCAAAATTCGATTGATGTCTATAAATAAATGCTGGTTTTTATCCTATGAAATGTGAGTGGTTTGGCTTAAATTAAATAATAAGGGGTATAACAGTATTACACTATTAGTCCTTTTTATCCTTTTTGGAACTTGGTGTGATTTGGCGAGGGGACGAGTGGAGAAATACCCATAGATCTGAGGTGGAAAATAGAGGAGTCCTCAAAGGGGGTCCAGGAGCCCTAAATAATCCTGAATGGTGTTTTACTCACCAATATCTGGTGAGTGCGGTTTATGTTGGTTTTGGCACTGGTGGATGCTGGAAGAATTATTTGAAAGCACTGAAGATTATTTTTTAGAAAGTTTTTTTGGGGATCACTGGACTTTTGATTCATGAAATAATTTTTATATTTTTTAATTTTTATATGTCACGGGTTTGTGGTCACTTATATTTATCACTGGATTTTTAAAGATTATTTAAAAAAATTTTTTTTTTATATAATTTTATATTCACTCATTATTGTAATATTTGTGTTTTGCGCTGGTTTATATTGAGAAAATTTGTTTTGGTTTATATACCTATGCACAGCAGCATTTCACTTAAAATTGGTTGTTAGTAGATTGGTCCTGGGCGCTGTGCTTTTTCCATTTAAATTCTATGATTGAAATAGTGTTTTCAGTTTGCGAAGCTCAGGTACAGTTAAGTTCTGCTTTAAATGTTTTAGACTTTAGTTTCATATAATTTTTTAGGTAGGTAAGGAATGCCATGTATCAGAATCTCCAGTCAGTTGGAGAACAATGATTACGATATTAGCGTTTGATATCAACAGGGCCAACACTACCATTAGGCAAACTAGGCAGTCGCCTAGGGCGCACTGCCACCTAGGGTGCAGCCACAGCCGCTGGTGTCCCCCCTCCCTCCCCTTGGCTATTCCTGCTCCGACCTCCTCTACCCAGTCTCCGTGTGCCTTCTTTCTGCTGTCTCTCCGTCCCTTTCTCAGCTGCCTCTGGCTGTCGTTCCGCCCAGGGACCACAGTGCTGTAGCCTGTTCACAGCCTGTCCCTAGCGCTCCCAGCCATTGTCACTGTTTCCTTCTCAATGTGATAGTGAGGAGGCGTGGGATGCTGTCAGCCAGTGAAGTTCCCAAGAGTGGGTTGGCTGTCACCAGTGAAGTTCCCGGGAGTGGGTTGGCTGTCGGCCAGTGAAGTTCCCGGGATTGGGTTGGCTGTCAGCCAGTCAAGTTCCCGGGAGTGAGTTGGCTGTCAGCCAGTCAAGTTCCTGAGAGCGGGTTGGCTGTCAGCCAGTCAAGTTGCCGGGAGTGGGTTGGCACTTCCTGTACACACAGAGCAGAGCAATGTGAAGTGAGCTGTCATGGTGTGCTGCATTTGCTGGGATCTATAGAGAGCTGGGACCCTGGTGAGACACTCTGGATGCATGCTGACTGCCCTACTCCCCCTGGATGGGGTTGGCTCATGGTAAGCAACCTGCTGATTGATTCTCTGGCTCTGACAGGTCATATATTAAGTGACAGCACTGAACTCTGACCAGGGACAGGAGAACTTCCAGCAGGGACAGGGTGGGGAATGGGGTAGGTTGCATGCCACCTGCACCCAGGGATGTCCCTGCCTCTGATCCACCTTACAGGGTTGCTACATCCATTTTTATTTGCTGTGCATAGGCTGGTAATGCTTTAGGGTGAGTTACATAACTACCCCCTGCTTGCAGTTTGCATTCCTAGGGGGTTCCAAGGGGGATCCTGCTGTGCTGGTGGGTCATGGTAGGCCTTGCAGGTTGGGCCCAGCAAGAAGGAGGTGGTGCCTAGCATTATCTGCTGGAGCGGGATCCGGTGGAGGAAACAGGTGCTCGACAGTGTCTTCTCCTCCTCCCAGCCCAATCTCTGCTGATCTCGAGCTTGTTACCCTACAGCACCCCCTGTATCAATCCTGGCAGTATTGCTAGTTTAGTTTTACTGTTTTTTTAAATTTTTAAATGTTGAAGTTTTATTTTTTTTTGGGGGGGGGGGGGGGCAAGTAGCTTGTTTCGCCTAGGATGCAAAATAGTCTAGCACCGGCCTGGGTATAAAACATTGGATTGGGGCGTCCCCTTCTTCAGGGCTTTGGTAGTGTTTCCATCAAAAACACTATGACCAACAGATTATTATATATATATATATATATATATATAGCGCCAGGGCTTTTTTTCTCAGAGGAAAGGAGGTGGAACTCCCCCACCCAAACCTGGCCACGCCCCCATCAAACCCTAGGACCACCCCTTTAGAGAACAGGAATAAGTAAAATTTGGGAGGGGC